GAAGTGTTCTACAAATACAGTAGAGGGGAATCTTACAGGCCAGCTAATAATTACTTATTACTTTAATTTTGGGCTTATTTATTGTAGCGAAGATTCAGAAATATGCACTCAAAAGTGTTTGGTTTTATAGAAGATCAAGTAAATTATGCTGTAGAATTTATGTTATATTCTATCTAGCGTTCAGAATCATGATGGATATTGTCATGTCATACTGTCATACATAACTACAGTATCATGAAGAGAACACAAGGTACATAGAGCTGGGCAGATGGAGAGGCCCTGCCCATCAGGGCTCCAAACAATGATATTGTTCATTCCAATCGTAGCTAGTATACATGGCATTATAAAAGTTGAACTTGAGCTATATTATACACTTTACAACGTAATACTGTTTATTTAATTAAAAAGGCCGAAAGTGAGGGACTAGTAGTAAGGTAAAGCAGCCTGTTGCCATTGCTTGCCTAGAGATGAATCTTGCATGATTGATGATAGTGACCTTGACTGCAAGCTCAAAGCTTAGTAATGATATAAATGTGCATAGACGTCAATATGCAGTGAAGAAAACAAGGACGTCCTTCAATTATTACGTATAATAAAATTATCCAGAACCGCTTGACGCAAATATATTTCTATTCTTATGTTATCAAATATGATCCATTTGATCAGATTTGGCCGACAATTAATTCTACCCCCCCCCCCCCAAAAAAAAAAAATTTCTCTACTGTACGCAAGTATCCTTGTTAAAATGATAAAGACTAAATGATCGTGACAAGTTTAAATTAAAAAGGTATCAATCAGCTAGGCCTTTGAATAACAATCTCAGGTGATGATAATCTATTCATTCTAAAGTGTTGATGTACGTAAGCGTGGAGCTGTGAATGATGACATCACTGGATATTTATAGTCACTAACAACGTAACGTCAACTTAACGCTCTACAGTACAGTACTGTACTGCACAAAAATGTGTAAAATAGATGTCGTATCATTTCTTGATGCTCTATTATAAACTACACCTAAGCTTACGACATCTGTTTTACGTCTAGGTTTGGCATACGGTACTATACTGTACTGTACGCAATATTGACTACTCTACTGTACAGTACAGTACAGTACTGTATGCTAGATGACGAGCGCAGCTGCGATACTGTGTCGTACAGTACAGTACTGTACACTCTTGTACTGTACAGTACACTGTACCGTACAGTCTACAGTACTGTACAGTACTGTAAAAAAAAGTAAAACAGGTGACCCGTGACCGTCTCGTGTGAAGACTGTACTGTACACTGTACTACTAGTACTTACTGTTAGCCATCAGGACTGCTTTTCTACTCATAGTAAAAAGAAGATTGAATGGCTAGTCTGCGTACTACCCCAGTCACGTTACCACTGTTTGTTGATTTTGCATTTTTGGGCTTTTTTGCATTATGACTATCATGCCGTTGTTTACACTCGAGCAATGAGAAATAGTATCCAGCAGTTTTACAACAACGGGTTGATTATCCACTTCTGCCATACAACACGCTAACACCGACCTTGATGATGTAGTTGAACACCTACAGTCGGCCGAGAGACTGAAAGGTTAACATCGGTATGATACCGTAACTTCAACGTTATGTCATAGAAAAACGCGTCCGCTAATCAAGTTGCTCCCACCTAGCTGCGCCCATAGTATGCCCAGTTCCCGATCGAGTCAACACTCTTCGGCGTCAGTCACACAATAGTGGTACGTTGACCGTGAGTGACACACTTTCCAAATTCACTACATTACACTAGCGTTTTTGCCACCAATTTTTACCTTTGCGGATCAGCATCTAGTTGGTACTAGGAAATCTACTAAATTCTCTTCCTTCGACCTTCTTCTTCTTGAAAATCACAATCCAGTAAGTATCATTGAAAAATACAACAGCAGCTCTATAAACTCTATTACAGTATGTTACATTTTTGTATTTCTATCTCTGATCATGAACATTCCAAAGCAACAACAAACGATCGTCTACGGTATTTCATTTGTTCACATGAGTTCAAAAGACTATTACGATATACCATCAAATTTTCATGCTTTGCTTGGTCATTCAATCGAGCGTTACTTGTAGCTAGTTTTTTACTGTAGTCTTGAAATAGACTGCCTTTCAACTCTCAATAGATTCATATTTTTAAGCCTGCTAGTAAGTTCTTGCTGTTTATCCTGAATTATAATCCACTTCAAAGGATTGATGGATTAATACTAACAGTATAAGATTTGATGTCAACGACAAGTATGATACTCAATTGCAGATCGAATGGCTGCGTAAAAAAATGAATTCTAAATGAAGTATACTTATCTCATTATATTGACGAATAAGTCATAGTATTAAACTAAGTAGAAATTGTAAAATTGATCTTATATATACGGTAACACGGTGCCGAAAAGTGGAAAGCAATATTTTATCTTCTGTAAGAGTTGAATATAAACTTATTAAACTGGTAGGAGATTTAGCGCCCGGGCAGGCGTTAATATTTTTATTTTCAAACTACTGAATTGCTAAATTCTTATCAATCGATCGAATTAATACAATAGTTGCATGCATAATTTGGATCACTGTTGTAAGCATCGATAAAAATTGATAATACTACCAAGTTCAATTTGCTTTGATCAATTGATTATTACATGATATGTCCATGTAGGCAGTGTTTGTGATGAGTAAAGATATCTTATACGTATTGCTAGCTAATTTATCATCCTAAGTTACTCTACTTTTAGTCGTAAATATAATTATAGTATTATACTAATTGATTATTTAATCGATATAGTATATTTACTATCTTACATAATTGCTATGTGAAATGCTGTAGTAATGTAATCACAAATGAGGTACAAATTATACTGCTCGCTTCAAGACTCAAATGGTGGACATAAACATTTATTATACATGAAATTGTAATCCGAAAAATTGAGATAAAATATAAAATATATTGCTCCGAAATAAGAATATAAAATTATCTGCATATCAATTTGATTAATGCTTATTTTATTGTTATGGCTATTCATAGGATGGGAAGAAAGTCCGTTCTAACTCTATTGATCGTTGCCGTCTTATATCTAGCGGTAAGTGATAAATGATAAACGAATAAGCATCTACTAAAGTGTATAATTTCCCATTATAGTCTTGAATTTAAAAAATGAAGCACTCTCAGTTATTATTATACATATGGAGAACGTGAAGTGAAATGTAGCACTTGCATTTAATGCGTTAATTACAGATTCAATAGTTAGTTGCTCACCTATGACAATATCTATATAACTGGTTATTGGTTATGGATGTTTGCGATATCATTTTGCTGGGGCATACACTGTATTTTACGCGTACATACGACGTAAAGTAACATAGCTATGAAACTAGCTTTCCATTAGCATTTCGAAATAGGATAGCAGAAATAGATTTTGGAATCTTTGTATCGTGTTACAACGATTATGATAATCGTTTTATTTTAGATCAAGTAGATATATTCAATCTTGGATTGAAAAGCTTTCTTAGGATAGCAGAAATAGATTTTGCAATCTTTGTATCGTATTACGACGATTGTAGTGATAGTTTTATTTTAGATCAAGTAGATTTATTCAATTTTGGATTGAAAAGTTTTCTATTCCAAATCATAATTTCGAGGGAATTTGCATAGTTAATTCAGTACTGCTGGCTGTATCCAGTAGGCAGGTTTTTGCAGTGCCTATAGTACATACAGTACGATAGTTAACTCTACTTTGTGTACTGTATTGCAAGATATGGTACTGTACGGTATTGAACAATGACTGACCAAAACACGACGTAGGATTGCACTATAGTACGGTACTGTATGAGTGTATGAGTCAAAATGGACAGTACACATACGCCTACTACAGTATGTCCAAAGTCAATCACGGCATAGCACCCGTGACAATTTTTCGCCACTATATTAAGTAGAAGTAGATTTGCCTGCCTATCTTATAAATGTACTCGTTCAGTATTACAACGGATCTGGAGTAGAGTTATTCAAAATCTTAATACAATATCCCTTGATGTATTGTAAATGATGGTTAAAACAACATGGTCATTGCTGATAGAGACATCCATTTATATGAAATATCGTTAGAGCAATAACTTGAAATACAGTTCGTATGCGAGATAAACAAACGCTCTACGTTCTCAACGAATATTATTATCATTATTATAGTGAGCCAATATCATGATCTTTGCTTCAACACAAGTCGATCATAATTCGTTACCTGAACTATGTACAATATAGTGCTAAAATTGATTACCATATTCGTCAAAGTTTAGTTTTCAACGCCAGGAAAGTATAAAAAAAACTTCAATAGATATCTTTATCCACCCTAGCATAACGTGATATGCAGCATTCAATCAATAATGCATTATTGATATATATATATAATGAAAATAATGGAATATCCTAATACAATAAATTGCAATAAATATTGTGTCACTGAATCGTGCAATCAATGAACAATACGCGTACGTCTTGAATTATAAAAATCGCTATATTTTCTACAGTATATCTTAGTGAAACCTATAGAGCAACAGTAGATATCTTTGTACAGCACATTCAACTCAAGTACGGTGTACAGTATACAGATACTACTACATTATAATGTAAGATAGCCAGTATTCATCTACAATAATTTAATTTACTAGAGTATGCTTATGCAATAATACTGTAATGATGTCATATTTTCTTCCAAAGTTACCTTGTCAAAGAATGAATGAACGATATTTTAGTTATAAAACTGTCCGTTAATCTTTCTGTATAGCATTTATATAATTTCAGTTATGTTGATAAAAATGGCCATAAAGAGAAATTTACACTTACTTAAAATGTAAAATTGTAGGTTGATGCTAGTCAAACCATTCGAAAGAAAGGCTACTGTACTTGGTATGGAGAATGTGGAAAATCTCCAACAGGCTCTTACAACTGTTATTATAATGGCCCAGCTATTCCTCTCAAGGATAAAAAGGCCGCTGCTATTTTAAAAGGTTTATGTCCATGGTTTTTTGAAAAGTCTTCTGAGCCAGCTTTGTGCTGTGATACTGTTCAAATTGATTACTTTCAACGCAGTATGCAACTTCCAAGACAGTTTTTGTCTCGATGCCCATCGTGTTGGCATAATTTTGTCCAACTTTACTGTCAATCAACTTGTAGCCCTGATCAATCATTGTTTTTAGAAGTAACTAATAAGATGCCCTATCATCCCAAAGTACCTTCCAATAGCAGTATAATAGATAGCGAAAACCATAATGCCAAGGAAACTGCATCAATTCAACAATTGACCCAAGTAAATTCAGAAGTTGCTGGTCCAAATTGTGATGGTGCACCTCCTGACAATGATATTGATATTCAGGAAAATATATCCCCTGAAAAGGACATTGATGAAATAAGTCCTAGTAGTACGGATCTTACTGCAGCAACTCCACCAAGAAATGAAAGTATAACAAGTATTAATTATCACATGACCCCAGAATTTGCTGATGGACTTTTTAGCTCTTGTTCAGAAGTGAAATTTCCCGGAAATAATGAGAAAGTATTAAATGTTCTATGTGCTGCACCCACTGGCCATTGTACCCCATGCTTGTGGTTAACGTATTTGGGCAATCCTAACAATGGCGAAGCTCCGTTTAAAATTAAACCTATTTTTACCGATTTCATTTATCCAAAAACAGGTATTGCACCTATGAATAAAACTGCTTTCCCATGTGATGTTGCTACTGGAATGGGAGTTAAAGCTACTTGTAGTTGTCAAGATTGTCCTGCTGTATGTAAGCCATTGCCGCCAATACCGACCCCCCCAAAACCTTCCACCATCGCCAACATTCCCTCCGTCTTATTCATTGCAATTATGGCTTATTGTGCATTCGTTGCTCTATTTATATTGATATTGGTAATTCGCTATTGGCGCAGTAAAAACACATCTGGTTCTAACACTAATTTAGACTTGCATGGTGAAGATAATAGTCAAATTTATGGTAAGGAACATAAATCGGGTTTATGCTGGAGAGTAAAATATCTTAATAAATTTAAAAATTTTAATTTTCATAGTATCTGTAGGTAATGATTCTAAATCCTACCAAACCCTACGCAATGATCTTAAATCAATCAACGACTCAGAAGAAAGGTGTGACTCTTCAAGTGTTTTAATTGAAGCTGGCTCAGTTATGGAAAAAGGAATCAGCTCATTTTTCACTCGCCTTGGTGTTCTTTGCGCTCGTCATCCTTTTATGGTTATAGCGTTATGGATCATCTTTATAGGAATATGTAGCGGAGGTTTAGCGTTTACAAAAATTACTACGGATCCAGTTGACTTATGGTCTTCCCCAACGAGTCGTTCAAGAAAAGAAAAGAATTACTATGATAAAACGTTTTCACCGTTTTATCGTACCGAGCAAGTTATAATAACTGCACCCCATAGTAAATACACTACCTACACAACACGAGAAGGAACAACGCAAGAGATTTCATTTGGCCCTGTTCTCCAACGTGACATATTGGAGCAGGTTATCGGATTTTGTATACATATATATATATTGCTTTTTTTTATCATTAATATAAAATTAACATATGTCCATCTTGTGTAATTTTTTAGGTTCTTGAGCTACAATTAAATATTCAAGGTTTGATAGGATCTTATAAGGATAGCAATGGAACCAAACATGACGTTACCTTAGAAGATATTTGCTTTAAACCGACGTATCCGACATTTAGTGAATGTCAAATAGAAAGTGTGTTACAGTACTTCCAGAATAACAAGACCCTATTAGATAAAGCTGTCTATGGAGAGGACCATTTGTTCATTATTGCAGATTACCACGATCACCTACTATACTGTACAAAGTTAGTATCAATATTTGAAAGTATTCGACAGTCGGATTCGCCATATTGAACGATATTATGGCTCTAGATGTATTGAACTTACTGAAAATATTGTTTCTTTCAGCAATCCTACTTCGGTCAAAGATATTGGTAAATTTGCTACTCCATGCATTGGTACTAATGGAGCTCCTATTAATCCGGATACAGCTTTAGGGGGATTCAAGGGTATGAAATATGCTACTATATATTAATATTATCAAATTTGATGCGCCTATTTGAATTAATAAAATACCCATATGATTTTATAGGTAAGCATTATGTCAACGCTTCCGCTCTCGTATTAACTTTTATTGTTCAAAACCATGTTAATGATGCGGATAATGCTAAAGCTAGGGCTTGGGAAAAACAGTAAGCTTATATAATATCTGTCTTCGGCTTGTATAGCATCACTTACATTGAATTTTTTTGGGCAGATTTCTTAAATTCCTCAAGAATTATAATAATCCAAACCTAAGTCTAGTTTATTCTGCTCAACGTTCTATACAAGACGAACTGAACCGAGAGAGCGCGGCTGATGTAATAACGATTTTAATTAGCTATTTAATTATGTTTGGGTACGTAGCATTGGCTTTAGGAAGATACTCTACCAACATCCGATATTTCTTTGTGAGTTAAATATTATAATATTTCGATAGGAAATTCTTATTATTTTCCACCGAAACTGAGCTATTAAATCAATCGTGGAATACATTGTCTTTCATGTTAGGTTGACACAAAGATTACTCTTGGCCTTTCTGGCGTTATAATGGTTTTATGCTCAGTTGTCTGCTCAATTGGAATTTTCAGCTATGCGAAAATTCCAATTACATTGATTATTATTGAGGTTGTTCCTTTCTTAGTTTTGGCTGTTGGAGTTGACAACATGTTTATACTTGTACAAGCCGTACAGGTACGTTCGTTGTATTTATTGAGTAACGTAATTAGTATAATTTTTCTCCTGTTTTTGGTTGTCGTCTTCTACTTACGCTTATTGTTCTACTTTCATAGAGGGATACTCGACAGCCTCAAGAAGAAATTGAACAACAAATTGGACGTGTGCTTGGAACTGTCGCGCCTAGTATGCTATTAACATCATTATCGGAAACTATCGCTTTTTCGTTGGGTGCGATTAGTACTATGCCAGCTGTTAGAACTTTTTCCATATATGCAGCTTTAGCTGTTTTCATTGACTTTTTGTTGCAGGTATCACTACATCCAGAATAAGATTTTAATTTTATGTAGCTGTTGCAAAGTTATACAGTTTTTAACAATCGCTTCTTAGACGCGCTAATAATGATAATAAATGTATACCATATTAGGTAACCTGTTTCGTGGCACTTCTCTGTCTGGATACGAAAAGGGAAAATGTAAATGTCTTTTAGAGCTATTATTTCGTTATTAAATAATTTTTCTGTCTGCTTTTGTTTTTTGCATAAATTAAAATTTTTAACTAAAACTCGTTTTGACTAGAACAATCGTTATGATGTCCTCTGTTGCGTTAAATCTCGACGTGAAAATAATCTAAACCAAGGAGGCGTCCTTTACAAGTTTTTTTCTAATTATTTTGCTCCTTTTTTGTTAAACAAGTTTGTAAAAACATTAGTGGTAAGCACTGCTAACAGTAATAAATCGATTTCTTTACTATTGTGACCTTGTTGAATACGGCTTGTATAGTATTTATTCTTCTATATGGGTTAGGTTTTATTAATATAATACGTTTCAATTATTAGGTGTTAATATTTTTTGGTATGGCAGCATTTGCTGTTCCGCAGGCAACAAAAGTTGAAATTGGCCTTAATCAGTCGTTATCACTTCCAAAAGTAACTACCTCATATCTTGAGCTATCAATACAAACTTATCTACACCTGACAAGTTTACGACAGTATAACTTGCATATAACATGTTCCATCATGCTTTCGAGACCAGTAAATTTTAACCACTGATAAATTCTTATGTAGCTTCTTCCTTCTTGTTCATAAACAGGACTCATACGTTATCAAGTATTTTGATGGTTTAAATGAATACTTACACATTGGTCCGCCCGTTTATTTTGTGGTAGAAGGTCCGTACGATTACACCTCAACTAATGGTCAAAACGATGTATGTAGGCAGCATTCATTAGTTTAACTAAACTGAAATATAAATCTTGATAATAGTAATCAGTACTTTGTTGTCTATAAGCTATATTATTTCTACTCGAAACATTTTTGTAGATTTGTGGATCATCCGGATGCAGTGCGGATTCGCTAGTACAGCAAATTTATGTTGCTTCGGAACAAGCGAATTAGTAAGCTTTACTTAATGATCGAAAGGAGATAACATAAGTTTATATAATGAACATTTTATTCACTTGTTACTATTATATATTTTGAAATAGCTACGTATTTAACTGCATTTGCAGACCATAAAATTAAAGTGAATGTTCTAAGCCGTTGTTCCTAAAATAGGAACTTACAGTATAATTTACAATCGTACTTACTAGCACATATATTGCCGAAACTACGTCATCTTGGATTGATGATTACTTTGCCTGGATTCAGCCAGTCGGTAAAATACCATGCTGTAGAAAGCGTCCAGTCGGTAAAGGTCACTATAAATTCTGTCCGTCTACAGGTACGTTATGTGTGAGACAATCGTTGTGAAAACCCATATTAATCAAAGATTTTTAAAGAATTTATTTCGTTTTCATTCGTAGAAGTCAACCAGAGTTGTGTGCCGTGCTTGCCTTCTACGGATATTGGTCGTCGCCCAACTGGGAAAGAATTTATAAAGTACCTACCATGGTTTTTAGAAGATGTACCAGGAAAAATTTGTGCTAAAGGGTACTACTAGAAAGCCAATGAAATCGGTTATATTTTCGGTGATAGTTATACTTTTACTGAACATGTTTATTATGTACATTATATTATCTATAGCGGCCATGCAGCTTATGGAAGTGCAATTAAGTTTACGCGTGACAAGAAAAATATAAGTGGTAATTAATTAAATAGTCTCTAACGTAAAATTAAATCATAACGCGTTTTATTAAGTATTTACTAAAATACCGATTTACTTGAATTTAGCTACCTATTTTATGACTTATCATAACATCCTGAGAACATCTAAAGACTACATTTACGCACTTAAGATGGCCCGTACTATCGCCAAGAATATCTCTTCCGTGATTAATGCTAGAGTGTTTCCCTACAGGTATTGTAGTGGAAAGATAATTTAATGAAAATAATTTTCGTTGCCTTAGAAATTCATCGATAAGGTCGAGATACTATAGAAAATTTTAACCCCTTTTACTCTTTTCTAGTATTTTTTACGTATTTTATGAGCAATACTTGACGATGATTAGAGATACATTCCTCAGCTTAGGCGTTTCCTTAGGTAAGTCAAATTCGATAATCAGACTGATGTATGTATGTAGTCGATAACATTTGTTGTAAACATCGTTATAACCTTTTTTTTTAAACTTTTAAATGCAGGTTCGATTTTGTTGGTCACTTTCTTATTATTGGGTCTAAATATTGGAGCAGCTATTATAGTTACGATGACAGTGGCAATGATTGTAATAGACCTTATGGCCATGATGTTTTTCTGGAGAATAAGTCTGAATGCGGTCTCACTTGTTAATCTTGTTATGGTAGGAACAATGCGCCGTATGATAATTTCCCTGAGCTTATTTCTAAGTACAGTATTTGCTTTATATAAATTTGTGTAATCATATACTGTGTTAGGCGATCGGAATTTCAGTCGAGTTTTGTTCTCATATCGTACGAGCTTTTGTCGTCAGCAAACAAGAAACAAGAGAAGCACGAGCACAAGAAGCCCTGTCACGAATGGGAAGCTCGGTATGGGTTATCTGATAAAAATTACAAAATATGTATCTATTCATTATTAGAAACTTAATTGAGACTATAGAAAAGTTTTTCATGACCCAAAGTTGCACTCTATATTCATTATATGCTATTAAGTAATAGTAAATGCTAAAGTGCTCTATTATACCTTTCTGATAATACTGACTCGTACGATCTATAGCGATAACGCAATATTGTAATATACTGTAGTATTTAGAATAAATAGTTAATAACACGATTTGACGTATAAATTTGATATTATAGGTCTTCAGTGGCATAACTTTAACTAAATTTGGTGGTATCATAGTTCTAGCGTTTGCCAAATCACAGATATTTGAGGTATTTTTATTTTCATTTCTACTTCTATAGATTATTTTAATGCGAATTATTGTAACCTTATACTCTTTCTATTAAAGATTTTCTACTTCCGCATGTATCTTGGTATCGTTATTTTTGGCGCCAGCCATGGTCTGATATTTTTGCCGGCATTCCTTAGCTTTTTCGGTATTACAGCCGCGATTGTCTCTATAATTTCAAGAATCATCGACAATACATAATAAGCACATTCTGACTGACTTTTTTAACAATTGTAGGTCCTGCAAGGGTGATGTCAGAGGCCGACATAGCTGTGATGAACTATTTACGTAACGCGCCAAAATCACGACCAGGAGAACCAAATGAATCTACTGGATTATTGTCCTAAATTTCCAGTCAATTGTTTCATTTATACACAATCATGTACAGTACATTGAGCGCTTTGAGCGCTTAGTCAATTTATTGAAGGATTATCTTAAAAATATATTTGTGGAATTGAACAGCACGAAATTTCTTGTATGGCACTCCAGTAACGAAAGAATGATAATTCGGCGTAATGAAATTGTAATGATTGAATCATTTAATTGTATTGTAATGTTTTTGGTCGTGGATGGTATTTTGTCAAATCCTTGATTTAGAATATCGATTGGCTAAAGATTTATGATATTGTTTTAATAAATCTGTTTTCGATTGAGAGGCAGATAGCGATATCGGATTGTCAGACATGGTTATCGATTGAAAATTTAAGTTTTTGTACCGTTATGAATAATTACATGACTAAATATAGGCATAGATTAGGATAAATGTATTTGTTTTAGCGCTAACGACAACTGTTTTATGCTGGATTTTTTATAGTTTTTATCCCTGTGTAACAATTAGTGTATGTGCGTTTTGCACTACAGATATCATATTGATATAATGTTTTATATCGTTAAGAAACTCGTGATTATAACATCGTTTACCGTAACAGGATCGTGTTACGTTTCAAATGCCATGAGTCAGGCAAGCAATGCCTCATACTGTAATTTAAATAGTAATAGCATCTCTTCGGTTTTTAATTTTTATATTACAAATTACAAATAAAATAAAATCAATATTTAAGCAAAATTAAGAATTTGCTAATCTATGGCTAGAATTCGTTACCAGATTCTAACTTTTATGGTATAAAAAAAATGGCAAATAATATCTAAAAATTAAAGGTCAACGTTAATAATGAAGTAAAAAATATACATAAAAAAGTGGCTATTAAGAGTTCACTAAAAGCCCTTCAGAAACTCCCCTATCAGGAGTGTGAAAAAGTTTGTCCTTATACTACCAAAAAAGTTTAATACATCTTGTCAGTGGATTTGTATGTTTCAGCAAATCTGGTACGGTATAAAAGATCTATTAGCTTAATTATTTACGTACGGTGCGGTGCCTTCGGCATGACTATTTGCACCTTTATTCTGTGAAATATATCATATAATGACATTAGTGTATATTTGAAAATTTAATCAGCTTTCACCACCTCTGGAGTAACTTCGATTTCGCCCTATTTTCAAAATATTCAGATGGATTTTATTAGCAAAGTTCTTATCATTATAATACTACATATTTTATTCGCTCTAACGAACAAAGATTTGCTGCTACAGACTATATGCTATAAATTGATGCCATACTACATTATAAATAATATCTACGTGTGGTAATTCACATCATAATTGCAAAACTGAGATATTAACGAATGATAATATTACTAACCTCTAGGTCTTTTTCTACGTTTCCAATATCCACTTGCAATTTAATTCTTTCTTGTCGAGGTTCAGCTGGCGCTACTTGAGTCGGTTTTGTTCCTTTTTTGGCCGGATGGACTATATATCCGTATATTATACCATTCCGTTAGTTAAATTATTACCATGGAAGATTTAAGTACTTCGTTTTTTTAAGCATACGCGTATATATTCAATCTTACCTCGAATGATCTCTGCTGGTTGATCTTGGGGATTATTATTGATACCTTGTTTCTTTTCTTTTTCCCATTGGGCTAAGAAGATTAAGTCATTTTTTTCATTAATTTTGTGCTGCTTGTCACTCTGAGCGATTTGTATAACCTATATATATATATATGCAATGAAGATAATTAGACATATAATCGTGTGTGATGACAATCGTGAGTTATGTTTTACAATCTGAAGTCTGACTGTTAGCTGTAATGTGAGGTATATGAAATAAATTTAGAGTAAAATTAAAATTTCTAATAGATTACAGTATCGGAATAATAACTTAAAAGTTTATTACCGTGATTGAAACAATTTACGCCGGTATTATTTTAATTACAATAAAATAAGTAGCATACAAGCTAATTTACTTCATAGCTAAATATGTATTTATTTCTACGTCATAGTAATCACATATAATATAAAATTACTAGAAAAGATTGGCGGCTTTTTATAGCTTCCAACACTACTACATTCCTATAGTACTTCGATTATCACCGCTAACTGCTTATGATGCCTTACTTAAGTAGTATTAGAAATAATAATGACAATATCTTAGTCTATGTGAATACTTACATAAGCTTTTCTTAACTGACTTGCAGCAATAGCAGCTCTTATGCAAGCGATACAACTGATTAAGAAGACTAGGGCTATTCCAGTATTGATAGCGAATGGTGCTGGCCTACTAAGCAACACTTGGGGCCAAAATAGATAAGCAGTGTATGCACTTAGACCACATGCGCCAGCAACAGCAAAAGCAGAAATGCTGGCAAGGACGATAAAGATTATAAACTACAAAAGTAAATTGAAGTAAAGTCAGTATATAGTCTTTAGTCAAGCATATGCATTAATGTTATAATATTCATATTTGACAGCAATATAAAGCGATTTTAGCAAGACTATTACTAAGCTTTAGTATATTTATGAAAGTGTATACTGTACTGACATCTTATTAGATTATTAGGATTAATAATTATATAATTATTTATAAATCCTAAAGATTAAATCATTCTTAGCGCCAAGTATTATTTTAATATCATAATAT